GGGTCAATATTCCTTGAAGGCACACACTGTGAGCTTGAGCTGAGTGTGAGCAGCTGGCTAAGGAACTGCCACAATCCACCATGGCTCACCTTGAAATTCTCAAAGAAACCCCCGCTGCCATTCTCCATCTTGTCATCCTCCCCTACGGGCAAGCCCATCATACTACGGCTGCGAAGCTGCAGCTCCTCAAAAAGGCTCTCCAAGAGGGCGCTCCGGGTTCTCTCCTGCACCAACAGTGGAAATAAAAAAACAGCTATTGTTTGGGGGTGGTTTCGGGGTTTTTTTGCTGTTTTCCCAATGTCTCATCTTCCTTTTAAAAAAAAGCAATTAATTTAGACAATATGAAGTAGTTTCATTTTTGTAGTTATAGTAATACCCAGCCCTTTAAAAACCCTCTCTAATGAAGACACCTTTACAATGCATAAAGGCCATCAGTACTTTTTTACAGATGGGGAGACTGAGGCACAGGTTAAGGGCAAACAGTTTTTTCCAGGTTGTCCAAAAGGCAAGCAGCCAAGTCTGGAAGAAAATTTCGGTATCTTCAACCAAAATCAATGGTATCAGTACTCTCCCTCTAACAGCACTGACTCTCACACTAATACAGAATTTCCTCCAGCAATATGTATGCATCATATTCCCATTCTTATTTGAGGATTAAATCTTTACATTAGAATGTACCTGTTCATATCATGCCTGCTGTAAAATAAGCATTACATGGCTGAGCACAATTACATTTAATCTTCCTTTTTCCAGTAATTCAGAAGAAGAAAGTAAAAAGTTATACTCTACGTTCTTAAATCTGGCAGTAACACAGCCTTATCACTTTTAATACGAGCGAACAGATAATAAACCTACCTCTAATTTAGCAAATTTTTCTGATCGGTAGCAGCTATACTCAGCGTTGATGAGCTTGGCCAGGAGGAATTCACGAAACTCCGCACTCTACAAGAAAGAATGAAAACTAGACTAGAGATGAAGACTGCAGTACAGATACCAGATGTGAAGAGCTCTGCTACCACTCTTTAGACCTCCAAAGTCATCTAGCCAGACT